CACTGCTGCTCGGATCTCTGCCTTCAACCCTTTCATGAAATTCCCCTCCAACACTGTATCTGAAAGTCGCTTTACCCTGCTAGCTAGGTGCTCAAACTGCTCCAGGTAATCTGCTACTGACCCCTCCTATGTCAAAGCAAAGAACTGCTCATAGAAGTCTCCTCTCCGATTGGTTTGGAAATGCTCTATTATGCAGTTTTAAATTCCCTCCAGTTCTTGATCGGCCCCCGTTGGTCTCTCCATTGAAACCACGATAGGGCTTTCCCTTCCATGCACAATCCCGCTGCTGTCAGCTTCTCCTCCGTCAACCCATTGACAACAAAGTACCGCTCTACCTTGTAAATCCATCCATACACATCTTCTCCTTCGAAGATGGGCATCTTCAACTTTCTCACCTTCTGGTCACCACCATTCCCCTTGATTCTTCCATAACTTCCCCTTTCCCAAGTGCTCGGTCCACCCCATGTGTCCCGCTCTTCCCTTGCTCTGCCATAGCCCAAACTCTTTTCGAAATTCCCCCTTCTGTCTTCCAAATCAGCACCACGACGGCCATAGTATCCGTCCTGGCGTTCCACATAGCCTCCTCTTTCTTCCCTCTGGACAGGTTCCAGATGGGGTCTTCTTCCTTCCCCTTCCATGATCTCCACCTCATCTTCCTCTCTACGGATTTCAGAATTATTATTTTTTTCCTTTCACCCATTTTGCCACTGAAGCCGTTGTTTGATTTTGAATCTCTAACATTTATTTCATCATATCTCGAAGGTCGACGATTTGTCTTTCCATGGAAGAAATCATTTTCTCCACCGTTGTTTTGATTTGATTCATCTCCCCTTCAAGTCTTTCCTCCAATGCATCCACTTTTTTGGCCGCCATCGCAACCCGGCTTTTGTAGATTCACAAAAATAGGATTTTGGAGTAAAAAAAATAGCAACTTCTTTCTTTTTGGGGCAAAAAAATTGCTTCTGGAATTCGTCGAAAATAGCCCTCCACCGGTCCCGAGACTCACTCTGATACCAATTTGATAGGAAATTCTTGAGTTCGCAAGTAACCCTAAGGGAATACTTGAGTTCGCAAGCAAACCTATCACTAATTGGAAGAAAACAGCGAGAATAGCACAAAATCTGGGCGAAATCAGCCCCAAAATGATAGATGGCAATCAACAAAATAAAGCAAAACACACACGAAAGCAAGATACAAGTGATCCCCAATTTGAGAGGAGGATCGTCTCTCTCAAATCTCTAGACAAGAGATTCTAGAGCCCAAGCACCGAGAAACCCTAATTCCCAATCAATCAAAACATAACATCTCCCTAATCCCCTCATGCACTTTAATACAAACACTTTCCTAAACTAATTTTCCTCCCAAAACACTAGCCTCTCCCCCTCTATTCAAATTTGAACATCACATAGATGGGCGGGCCCCATCTTGTTTGGCGGAACCAGAGAGGGGGGCGGCTCTGTTCCTCCTCCTGTAGCCGGCCCCTTGGCCGGCTGGGCCGTCTCTATGTGAACCGGCGTAACACAAATATAAGTAATTATATATTTTATACTAATGAATTAAACATATAACCTAATTGTTGAACATAATTAAATTTATATATTTTAAACAAAATTAATATAATTCATTAGATGTTATTTAATTTATTTGATAAGGTTTTAAATATGAATGAGAAAATGTTAAAATCTACCTATGTAGCTCTTTATTTGATAATTTCGTCACACTTATACCTTTAATAGAATGCATTTTAAAAATGTTTTAGATATATAAAAATTGATATAATAGCATACAGTAAGTCAACAAATAAGTAATTAAGTCACAATTAAATGAGTAATTTATCGAGTTCTTTATAAATTATTTATTAAACAACAAAGGAGCTTGCTCATAAATATTAATGAACAAGTTAGTAAGATTTCAAAATTGTTTTTTTATATGACTAGCTTTAAAATTGTATTCAAGCTTGTTCGATCATATAAATAAGCAAACATAAATCTAAATAAGTTTCGTGTTATTCATCTAATGTACTTGTTCATATATAGCTTTAAGAAGAAGGTGACTATTGTAACGGTTCAAGATCAAACGTTAAATTTGGTGAATTGACTAGAATTAAGCCTTTCCTTAAAGGCATTGTTTAATGGGAAAGAGCCGAATACAACATCTTACCCTAACTTGTTCGAGTAGCTTTTCATCTTTTAGATCTATGTGAAGTAGGAAGTATTCAATGCCATTTTCAACTTAGGGGGTGAGAAGAATTTGTTTTCGGCTAGTAAGGAATAAGACTAAACATCTTCATTACTTTTAACCACATTCATATGCACTTGGGTGGATTTAGAAGGACTTAAAGACTTATATATAGACCAACAATATTGTGTTCATTTCACTATCATTCAGGTGTATATCAATGATATTTTGCGTGAAGGGGCCCCTCTCGATATCTATCAATCATCATATTTTGTGTGAAGGGCCCCTCTCGATATCTATCAATCATCTTCAGATCTTATATTCATGGTTCCAAAGATATATTCTATAGAAAGATTATAGCGAAATTATTTTGTAAGGATGGCAGGTTTGGTTTTCGTCAAGATTATGGGGTTTTTGCCTTCGGATATGGTGTCAGATGGACACGTGAAGAGGACAATAAATACACACCGATTCATCTTACTCTTTTGCCCAAAAGGAGAAGCTGGATGAGAATGCTTAGGCCTTTTCTCGAGATGGATAAAAAAACCCAAATGAAGAAAATGACGTTGACCTTGGTACACAATGAATGATGGCCGATGCTTTAGTAGCTAGTTGCACTAGCTAGAGGTTTTTCGAGAGCCAAGAGGGTTTCATTTGCAATGAATAGTGGAGCATGAGGTTAATTTTCTGTCAGACTACTTTTAACAATGTTGGGGTGCTTAGAAACTTGATGGTGAAGAATAAAGAGATTAAGAAGTCAGTGACTTAGGTGATCGACCAAGGATTCATTAAACAAGAAGCTCACCATATGTATTGTCAATTATGATGGTGCCAAAGAAAAATGATGGCCTATAAATGTGCATAGACTACCTGACACTAAATATGACCAAGGTGTTAGAACTCTTCCCTAAGCGGATGACTTGCTAGATTAGCTGAAGTATGCCTAGTCTTCACAAAGTTGTATTTGAAGTCGTGCTACCATGAAATCTCAGAATTTGGAGATACGTGGAAGAGCATGCGGAAGACAAAATATGGATTGTTTGAGTCGATGATGGTGCTATTATGTCACTGCAAGCCTGCAATGTGTCAGTGTTGTCTATGCTTTTTATGATTGATATTCTGAAATTATTCATGGAGGATTTTATGATCATCTACCGTGATTACATATTTGTTGCAATTCGAGTTTGTCTTGGTCTATGAATAGTGTTTTGAATAAGTGGCGTATATGCTTGAACAATCCCTGGTGATTTTGTCAGTGATAATGTGGATGCAACCTTCTAGGAGCAATGAGTACATTAATATCTAGAAGCCTAAGAGCATGGATATACCATCAGAAGACTTCTCTATTTGGGGAATAAACTTTATATCCCTAAAGATGACGTTCAGGTGAAGTGAATTGAAGAAACATAAATGTAGTTGGCCAAGCACTTGAGGTGACGATGATGCTTCAAAAACTGAAGAGATATGTAGATTAATTGATAATTCTCCTTGATGTGGAAATTTTTTTTGAAGGAATGTGTACTCTATTGTACTTCAAAGTCTTTGATTTGGAAGTCATGATTATACATCCCCCCAACTTTTGCCATTAGAGAGTATCTCCATTGGACCTGCAGTGATCTTAATTATGTTTTTGTTATGATTAATAGGTTTTCGAAGATGATAATTTTGATGGTGTATAAACGAAGCATTATGAGAGAAGAAACTCATCTTTTTTTTTTTTCCAGATGTTTGGGTGTATTTCACTTTCTTAAGCTAATCATCTCAAACAAAAAAATTACGCTTCCTTGGTGGCTTTTGGAAATCATTATGGGTTATGATGGATGCAACCTTGAAGAGAAGCACAACCTTCCAATCATAAACAGATGGCTAAAGTTAGGTTTTATAAGACTGTTCTACACTTGCTGAGAGGATTAAACTTGCGAACTTGCACACTTGGGATGAAAGCCTGTAATCTATCTAGTTTTCAGTGCGTCACATACTTTGTTCTCATCTGATATATAAAACATTTATAAACATCATTATATTATCGTATTTATCTTGGGAAGCTAGTGAAAGTGATGTTTGAGGAAAAAATGCTATTATAGAAAATGACCTTCCAACATTTCACACTTTGTTTTGGCACTAGGTCCCCTCTTTTATTCCAAAATTAAAAGAAAAAAAAAGGAGTAAGGTTGCTTCTCATTTGTCACTGAGCCCTCAAGTTTCCCATTCACTTTCTTCAAGTAGGAACTAGAACTAATATGCGGGTATGCTATTTGTAGAGATAAACACGCTCAAGGTCAACTAAAACTACATTTTGTTGTTGTCAAAGGCACAAAGAGCAACATAGAAGTTTCTTTTAAATATTTCAGTATGAAATTTTCGATGCGGCGATGGAGAATGGCTATTCTCCAAATTTTTTATTTTTGTTTGTTAATCTTGAGATCATTTAATTTTTGCGTTTCATTTCTCTTGTAGTTCAATTCGGTGCTAAATGATTGAAAATATATGGCAGGACAAAAATTATTCTGGAAATATTAGAAAACCATCTTCCTCTTCTCTCCTCTATATATATTAGCGCACATTCACAGCACAGTTTCACAAATATTTCTGTTGGATGACCTTCCATTGCTCTAACTAAGGCTTCATTTGGGATGACTTTTTTAGTGCTTTTTAAAGCAATTTTTTATACTAAAAATTTGTTTTATAAAGTAATACAAAAGCTGTCTCAAACAAAACCTAAAATAATCTCTGCTAATTTGTGAACTGTGTTTCCAAATATAGTTTATTTTCTGAATCAATCTATTTACATGCTCAGTACTCGATGGATTGTATTGCTGCAGGCACTGAGAATATTGCTAGCATAGTTTCTCCCTCCCTCTCTATCTCTATCTCCCCGAAAGTGACATTTTCGTTGCTTTTGGCTTATTCAGAACTGTTGAGAGATGGTCATCAGCGGGATTAGGTTTAAAGAAATTTGTATATTACTTGGAGCATCCATCTATCCATAGGTATGCACTTCTTTCTTAAGAAAAAAAAATATCTTGTCTCTGATTCATCTGCTCCATTTCAAATGTTTGTACTTGTAAAGTTGTATTATAGAAGCTAAATCTTCTCACGAGTCTTTATTACTAGAATGTTGTGCTCTCAAGGAATTATATGATGGTTCTTTTTTTCAACTTTTCTTACTTCGTTCGGCTCTCTCTCTCTCTCTCCATTTTGCTGCCAATCTCTGCCTTGTTTTCTTGTTGTTTGGTATATTGATACAGGTTGAAATACAAAGTTTTATGAAGCATTTGGCTCTGAAGCCTCAACCTTTGGGATTGAGAATGGCTTAAAAACCTCTTGTTGCTGAGTTTCAAGTTCTTGTAATTCTCTTTTAAACTTAAATTGTTATTATAAATGAATTGCTTTATGAAGCTCTGCTGAGAATATTGTTCAGATTTGTAGTTAATAACATTATATAGAATTTTAATTTATTTACTCTGTGAGTGATGGCAATGTCTTGAGTATCAATCATAATGAGCTCTTTTGATCTCTAGTTTTTTTGAGTTCTCCTGTGATTTGTGTTGATCTGATCCGAGCTGGATGATTGTATACTTTGCTTAATCCATGCCTGTAGTTCTTCAAGTTTCTGCATCTTGTTTTTTTTTTTTTTGGACAGTTAGGGAATTCGAACATGAGCTGTATGAGAGGAAAAACTTCGCTCAACCAGCGAGTTGCACGCACGATTTCCTCTGAATCTGGTTGAAAACCACACGTTTGATGCTGCTTCTGAGGTGCATGAGCGCACGGGTTGACTTGATAAGCTGAGCTCAATAAGCTCACGTAAAGTCCGAGCTAGTCTGAGCTCAATTTATTAGCTCAAGAGTCTGGGTTGTTTAAATAATATTAATAAAAAATTTATGTAAAATATAATATCATTCAAGATTTTTAGGTAAAAAGTTATTAAAAATATTTTAAAATTATTTTTTATTTTCCTATATTAAGTGATTTGTTATTATTATTTTTTCAATTTCTCATTCTTTTTTATCTTGTCAATAACTTTTCATTTTAAAAAGAAAACTAAAATTAAAAAGTAGATTGAATTTTAATAAAGACAAAAGGCATTAAAAATTGCAATTTTATAAAGAGTTTGATGCTGAAACTCTGGCGTCCCTTTTAGGTAAGTTACTTATAATTTTGTTTGTTCAAATGGGTGTAATATTTGCATCTGATTATATTTTTATTACTTAAAAAATCATGATAAAAATATTTTCTATAATAAATAAAGTATTATTCAACTTTTTTTAAAATAAAGATATTATTAAATAAATTTTAAAATATTTATATTCACTACAAATTTTTTTGCAGACTGCTCCACCAATCAAACAAATCCGAAGTTTTGAAATTTGAAAAGTTATTATAATTGCTAACGTAATTTTTAGACGTTTTTTTTTTCAGGCGGCTTTCCTATTGCTTTTAAAAATATTTTATATATATATATTTTTTAAATTTTTATTTAAAAGTTGTCAAAAAAATAATAAAAATATTATCTCAAACGAAGTCTTAATATTTTCGGTACATAAAATGATGTTAATATGTATTTTTAAACGGGAAAAAGTGAGACCAGGCAGTTGTTGTTTTTGCAATTATAAAATTAATTTTTCTTGTATAACTATTACAATATGTATTTAATATTTTTAATCGAAATTTATATTTATTATTATTTTAGTTTATTCTCATTATTAATGATATTTTTTAATTTTAATTTACATTATTTTCTTCTATTAATTATATATATATATATATAATGTGAAATTAATTTAATAAATGCATAAATAAAGAAATTTGAAATGTATAAACTTTAATTCATATAATGAGAATTTTTATTCTTCTGCAGAAGAAATAAGAAAAAAATTAATTTAAAATTAATCTGAAAATATGTTTTAGTTGTTAATTTTAAAATTAAACAATCTTATTATAATACTCTTTCATAATTAACATTTCACCTAATTTATAATATACACATATTATTAAGGTTGCATTATTCTAATTCTATGTACATTTAACAGCACAAATCTCGGTAATGTGAAGTACCGAGTAATACTGAGCTCGGTACTGTGAAGTATTGAGTTCGGTACTCCATAGTACCGAGTAGTACTGAGCAGTATCGAGCTCAGTACTGATCGGTACTGTGGTGTATCGGGCTCATACAGAGCTCAGTACCAAGTAGAACGTGATGTGGCGCATTTTCATTGGGCTACGGACATCGTCACATCGTCCGGTGGCCGAACCCAATAATTTACCCTCTTTGTCTCTAGTGTGCTCTTATTTATGCGTCCGAAAAATTTATAAGGAGCAAATTTTAAACTAAATTATGTTTAAGAAGCAAATTTATCAATTATTTTAAAAAGGAGCCAACATGGAGAAGCAAAGCACATATTAGGGAGAATGTGAAAAACTTACTTCCGTAATTAAAATGCAGAAAACATAATTCCGCATTCAATAGAATGCGGAAAACGGTTTTCCAAATTTAGTAGAACGCGGAAAATCATTTTCTGCATTCTATTGAATGCGAAATTCAATTTTACTCATTCCCCTTTGATACGTCCTCCAAAAATTATCTTGATCGGGCACGAATCTTGATGCAAAATCAAGCCGGAAACTTAAAAAATTAAATTTGGGATCACCTAGACTCCAATTTCAGCAAACTTACCATCAAACTGAGCGTCTCGGAAATATGAACCCAACGACACCAAATTTGGCTCGATCAGAGCCCAAATGAGTACAAATCAAGGACGTAAAGCGCTGTTGGAAGGTTCAAACCACAATTTGTGTTTCCAAATGGTTTTTAAACTTGACGAGCTTATAGTCTAATCGAGCGGCTCGACGACATGAATCCAACGAGCCCATGATCGCCAAATTCTGACATCATTAAGGCCTTCAATTGTCTAACGAACGGTCCATGATCAAGGGATCCAACATCGGCCGTCCATTCGAGCACTCCCCCTTTACCCTTGATCTCTCACCTATTTACGGGCCATGCCACTCCAGAAAATCTATAAATAGACCCCTAATTTCTCTTGAGAGGAGGATTGAAGCAAGAAGAGAAGAAGAGAAGAGAAGGAAGAAGCTCCTCCTCGACCACCGTCAGACCTTTGCCGGACCACCACTTGTGGCCCTCGCCTTCGTCGAACAACCACTTGAGGCCCTCACCTCCGCCGGGCCACCACCTAACGCAGTTACTTCGCCAGACCACCATGTGAGGCCCTCACCTCCGCCGGACCACCGTTTGACGTCATTGCTCCGCTGGACCACCACTTGAAGCCCTCACCTCCGCCGAACCACTGCCTGACGCCGTTGCTCCGTTGGACCACCACTTGAGGCCCTCACCTTCGCCGGACCACTGCCTGACGCCGTTGCTCCGCTTGACCACCACTGGACCATAGCCTGACGCCGTTGTTCCGTTGGACCACCACTTGAGGCCCTCACCTCTGCCGGACAACCGCCTGACGCCGTTCTTCTGCCGGACCACCACTTGAGGCACTCACCTCCGCCGGACCACAGCATGACGCCGTTGTTCTGGCAGACCACCACTTGAGGCTCTCACCTCCGCCGGACCACCACCTGATGTCGTTGCTCCGCTGGACCACCACTTGAGGCCCTCACTTCTACCGGACCACAGCCTGACGTCATTGCTCCGCCAGACCACCACTTGAGGCCCTCACATGCGTCGGACCACCGCCTGATGTTGTTGCTCCGCCGGACCACCACTTGCGGCCCTCACCTTTGTCGGACCACCGCCTGACGCAGTTGGCCCGCCGGACCACCACATGTGGCCCAAACTTCTGTCGGACCACCACATGAGGCATGAACTTCCACCGGATCACTACTTGGGGCCCTGTGCTTCACCAGGCCACCACTTGAAGCCCAAAATTCCACCTCACCACTATTTGAGGCCCTGAGCTCCACCAGGCCACCACCTGACGCCCGAACTTCATCTAGGGCATCACTTGACACCGAGAGTTCTCCTGAAGTACCGCCCTCCTTCTACGGTCCTTCTGACCCCCGTCACCTACAATCGTCCTTCCGACCTCCATCACTAGATAATATTCTTTCTGACCCCGATCTCTTGCCAACTATGGTCCTTTGGACCTCTATCGCCTACAATGGTTCTTCCAAACTCCATCACCATACAACGATCTTTCTGAGCCCGATCTCCTACTGACTATGGCCCTTCCGACCTATATCGCCAGATAATGGTCTTTCTAACCTCTGTCTCTTGCTGACTACGGTCCTTCCGACCTCCATCACCGACAATGGCCCTTCTAACCAAATAAACATGTATATGTCGATTATTGTAACTCCCACCATGTAATGTGCTCTATATGATGTACATTTGTAACATCAAGCCAAAGGCTTCTCCCTAAGAAGGGCCTCATTTGTAATCGATTGCAAATACTAGTGGATTCATTCAAACTAGGCCAGGCCGCATGGTTTTTCCCCCTTTTAAGGGGTTTCCACGTAAAAACTCTAGTGTCTCTTTTGAATGCTACACCCTTCTACTTATCTGATTGTGTGCTGGATCTTCGTACAATGCTAAGACGTTAAGCTATATATTTCTCTACCGCCGGGAATACTCCAGGACGCAACGGTTTAGTGCCGTCTGTGGGAACCTAGTTCTCGACTAGGGGGCAATTTTTGCTCCAATCTCAAAAGATCGTTCATGTCAACTTCCTGAATTCAGCTATTACTGCATCAATTTCATAAGATTCAGATCTGGACTGGGGGGCAACCTTGATTCCAACTTTGATAAAGAAGATCCCTCCAATGCTTTCATTATCAAGATGATATTTCAAAAAAAAATTCCAACAAATGCAATAATACTTTCAATCAATTATAAACTTTATATAATCCCTTACGGGACTTCTACTCCTTGGGCAAGGTCTTAATCTCGACCTCAAAAAGATAGTAACGGTCTAAAGATATACCATTCTTTACCTTTGATTCGGGGTACAAGCGGCATTTGCCCCTCCCAATCAAGGCAAAATCAATCCCAGGGGATTCGATTCGACCTCTTCCATACAGGTTAACGTCATCAAGCAAAAGCTCTGACGTACAATCTCAGATAGGTCCTACATCTTTGGTGGATTCCCTCGACCTCTTCCATACAAGTTAAAGTCATCGAGCAAAGGCTCTAACATACAACCTCGGATAGGTCCTACATCCTTAGTGGATTCTCTTGACCTCTTCCACACAGGTTAACATCATCGAGCAAGGCTCTGACATATAATCTCAGATAGGTCTTACATCCTTGGTGGATTCTCTTGATCTCTTCCATACAAGTTAACGTCATCGAGCAAAGGCTCTAATATACAACCTCGGATAAGTCTTACATCCTTGATGGATTCTCTCAACCTCTTCCATACAAGTTAACGTCATCAAGCAAAGGCTCTGACATACAACCTCAGATAGGTCTTACATCCTTGGTGGATTCTCTCAACCCTCTTTCATATAGG